AGAAATTGGTTTTTCTCCAGTTAAGAGCTCAAAAAGGATGACTCCAAAGCTGTAAACATCACTTTTTTCTGTAAATTGACTTGACTGGAAATATTCGGGGTCTAGGTACCCAAATGTGCCCTTGACATTTGTGGTCAAATTAGTTTGATCAGTGGCAATTGATCTCAATGCCCCAAAGTCTGCAACTTTTGCCTTATACTTTCTGTCCATTAGAATATTTGAGGACTTAACATCTCTATGATAAATGGCAATGGAGGCTGCTGAGTGCAAGTAGTAAGGTGCACCTGCAACTTCTGCTGTAATTGTTACTCGTCTTTCCCAGGTTAATGGGAAGGCCTCATTTTGATCATGTATATACTGGAAAAGTGTTCCATTGGGGATGAATTCATAAACTAGCCGGGGAACTTCAGTCTCCAAACAGTGGCCTAATAACTCAACAATGTTTTTGTGATTAATGTGTAAGAATGACCACCTCATTGATGAACTCTTTAACTTTCTCTTTGTCCAATTCTTTGGACTTCTTAACTGCAACAATTCTTCTATCAACCAACATTCCTTTATAAACAATGTCCTGGCCTTGCTGACTGAGTATTCTATTCCTGCATTTGTTAGTAGCTCTCTCCAACTGCTCTGTACTAAATATTTTGGTCTTTTCAATATCACCCTCAGTTGAAGACTTTGTTGCTGCAATAATAAACCTCCATTTTGTTTGAAGAACTGCCTTTGAAGCTTCTTTTTCATTTTCTTCTTTAAAAGTTTGTGCGACTGCCTTGTACCAATAAGTAAACATACTAGTCGAAACGCTAGGCTAATACCTGCACATATCAAGAGAGAAATGGATGATTTTAGCAACATTCACACACACACACATATATATATATCAAAACTTGATAATATAGAAGTCCAGTTTCATGGTTAGAATATCAAAATGAAATGAAATAAAATTAATGTGTGTCCACAGGATTGTGCATGGTCTTTAAGCAAGATCCTTTCGTTAAAAAGATGATGAGAGATGGTGTTAGTATTGAAGTTGGGGATGGTAGACAAGCCTGCCTTTTTTATGATTGTTGGCTATCAGGAGATGGAATTCGTCATAGGCTATAAAATATGGCTGAGATCACCAACTGTGGGCATGAAACAAAAGTTCCGGGTGGGGACCATCTGGATGGCAGATGCCAACTAGTTTTGGAAGGAGATATTCTGGTATGGTGGCTGAGATTAAAAGATTGACTTTGTCTGAGGGAGCAGATAAAGTTTTGTGTTGTGGCAGTCGGGGCTCCTCAATCAATAAAAGCTACCAATTGTCAATTGATGACATTCCAGCCAGGTTCATAGAGCTCCTTGGTTTAGATTGGTGTGGCATTTTAGTGGAATTTTGAGGCACCCGTTTATAATTTTATAGATGCTAGTGAAAGGTCTGTTGAAGACAAAGGATAGGTACTGAATTGCAGAGGTATGAGTTTGAGTTTAAATTGCTTCTTGTGTGATTCTGCTGAGGTTATCATACAAATATCACTTTTTGAATGCCCTTCTAATCCATGATAAATCTCTAACTTCAAAATCACTCTTCTTGTAAGTCGTCAATAATAGTAATCATGTGTGGTATATATGTGCGTCAATTGTGTATTAAAGTCCTCTATCAACTGTATGTATTACGTTAAGTTTGTTTGAATTTGTATTATCTTTGTGCTACAATGACCTACACAACCTAAAGATAATCATTTTCTAGTGGGTTCGTCTTTTAACCATGCAGGTTGAGTGAGTGAAAAAACGATGTGAGAGGGTTATTTCTATTATGCAACTTAAGAAATAAAATAAATAAAAGTTACAACCTATATTCAGTGGATTGGAAATTGAGGATAACTCTTAATACCTGAATAAGTACCAAAAAAAAAAAAAAAAAGATTTGTATTCTAAAAATAATAAATAAAGGTCGGAAAATATGGGTCTTACCCAAAATTGTAGCTGACTGCGAGGCTATCTTGCCTTGTTGATATCAATCGTAGTCCCTCATCTTATTGAAACAAATTGAGTCTGGCCCACAGTTAATCTTGTGGCTAGTGTCATTGCATTCATCAATATCTAAGAAATAAATAAATCAATGACGTAATAATATATATAATATTACGTAAAATTATAAATTTACAATAATAATATGATATTAAATAAATATAACGTGATATTAAATTAATAGATGTATATAATATTATGAATGGACTTTTGAGTAAAAATAGTTTCTTATATAATAATACATCATGTTATAATCTTATAATATTATATAACTGTTTCCTCAAAAAATCCTCAGCCGGCCTTTACCACGTGAGTTGGATGTTAGGCGTGCCACTTGCTTTGTCTAAAAACAAGAAAATAAGATTTTCCAGACGACCCTTCTCCTTTCCAGCGGTCGACCTCCAATAGGATGGCTGGAAAGAACGTCTGTGAAATGAATTGCGCCCCAGACGATGTTGCAAAACAGAGGGTAGAGCTCTGCAAAATGGGTTACTAATTGCCTTGGAAACCTCCAAGGACTTCACAACCAAACAAGTGTAATAAAAGTTGCGCCCCAGACGATGTTGCAAAACAGAGGGTAGAGCTTTGCAAAATGGGTTACTAATTGCCTTGGAAACCTCCAAGGACTTCACAACCAAACAAGTGTAATAAAAGTTACAAATCCTAAAATAAATGCAATATCCTAAAGCAATTAAACTAATATGAAGTAATTAATAGAAAATAACATGCCATGAAGATTAAATTCGCAGACAACAGAAATAGTAAAATAACAAACAATGATTTCAACTACGCAGCCCATAATGATAACTAAAACTAAAAAAGAAACTATGAAATGATTAAAGTCTGAAAACTTATAAAATCAAATCTGGAAATTGAAATTAAATAAACTGAATGTCTGGATATTGTGCAGAAACAAAAGAACAAAGGTAGAAAACATTCAACCTATTTACATGAACGAATAACATAATTAAATCCATAAAAAGAAAAAGAACTAACCGAATCAAAAGGGCAGACCTGTTTTGAAGGCTAAGTTGCTTCCAAATGCTTAAAAACTAATCTAAATTGGAATTTGTGGGAGAAAATATGATGAACAAACCTAGGCTAAGGCTATGAACTAATCTGGAAAATTTGGAAAGTCTGGAAAATTTGGAAACTATTGCTGAAATCTGGAAAATGCAGTCTGAAAGCTGAAAATCATGCTCTGGGCAGTCTGTGTGTGTGCTGGGCAGGCCTGTAACTGATCTCTCTTTCTGGTTTTTCTTTGTTTCGGTGCTGTTCACCTCCCTCCATGATCTCCGGTACTGTTCCTCGATTTTTGGCACTGTTCCTCCATGATCTGGTAGTGGGATTGCAGGTCTGGCAGTTACTTTGATAGTTATCCAATTTTATTTAACCTTATCTCCAACAACCTTAAAGATAACTACCTAAAAATCCTCAATTTCCATTTTAAATCAAACCCAAACTACCAAATTCCATCTTATCTTCTGCTACCTAGGATCCAACCTCCTTGGAAATTCGTCTGGGCCGTTAAATTGGAAGCCAGCCCAGCCCAAATCCAGCCCATTGATTTTCTTAATAATTGGGCTTTACCTTGACATGTGGCCTTACCCTATTGGTTTATTTTAGGTGTAAACAATAACATTGTAGTTATAGTGTTTTTGTAACTAAATAAAACATAATCAGCGAGATAAACGGACAGAAGTTAAAGAAAATATGTAGGCATAGAAAGTAAAATTACCAACAGGTACACACGTTCTACCCTTGGTTAGTTTTATCGCAGGTTCTTGTAATACTAACCAAGATCATAGGGCTGAATAAATAACAATGCTTTTCTTTTTCTCAAAAAAAAAAAAAAGTTTCTCTATATAAGAATATGTTTTTCGGGTTGGACTGCATATTAAAACTGTAATTCTAACACTGAAATTATAAAAATATTCTTAATAAAACCCTTCCTTATATTTATTGATTGTAATTTAGTAATTTTAGTTGTAGGATTGTGCTTTTAACGTGCAGTCTAGACTAAAATACATAAAATTATATATATATATATATATATATAACCTTGTGCTGCAGGCATTAAAACTTATTGCTATTTTTTTTTTCTTATTGTGTTTAATGTTTTTGAAAGAAACGAGCCATTGATATAACTAGAGAAAAAGTGGACATTATAGAAGTTTACCTTGACATCCAAAAGGTAGATAAGGATTGCCTTGAAATCCAGGATCACAAAAACATTGTCGAGTTGTGTCTAGGGGCATTAAAGTGGAAGAAAAACCATGGACAATATAATTCTTATGATGGGTACAACAAAATGCATGATCATATTTGTATGGTAATCGTGATGCATCCACCTCTGTAATCACCCAGTTAAACACATCTGTAACATATTCTTCATGGTCAAGTGGGGACCCCAAGGGGGAGATGAAAGGACTTCCTGAGAAATTCACAGATTTCAACTCTGTAGACAAGTTCCGGAAGATTATTGGTATTTTGACGGCAACAAATTAAGCTTGAATCAAGAGAGAAATACAGCACCTCAATTTCTATGCTGGTTAGTAAAGTTGTAGGAGGGGTGGAAGTTTCATTGC